ATTTATGTTAAAAGCTAAATAAATTTAAATTCTTAATATTGGCAAGTGTGCAATTAACTTCTGATGATGAATAATTACTGTTCAATAAGTTTGAATACGGAATTAGAAATCATATAACTTGGTTTCATAGTGCGGTAAGAAGTTGCAGTTGCCTGACGGCCCCTCTCTGAGGGCCCCTTTGTAAACCGTTTCATCTCGCTCGCACCACTTGTGTTTGCTGCCTAATCAGGTGACGTTATCGGCGCTATTTTTAGCCGGGCTTTCCCGAACAATTCAAGTGGTCAAACTGGACATTTGGAACGGACTATGAATATGGGGATAGCGAGGTAACATAAGTGGAAGTGCATACAATACATACATTCATTAAAAAAAAAACGCCTTTTCACGTGATGTCCCTTTAATTAAGTTTGCATCCCTCAGTACTTGGTTGTGAATATTAAATTTTGAAACTGATCACAAGAAGATCATTTAGTAATTTAAAAGTTCCAGTTCCAGTGGGAACTTAACTACTTTAGTCAATAAGTCAACAAACAATCCCCCTGTAACAGGAACACAACAGAAGAGTTTTGATCAAACTTCAATGTCATCTATGTGGTGTTTTCATAGGTGGACACTCTCATGGAGGCGGCGGCCCACGGAACATGTAATCCCATAAGGGGGGTGTCTGAATGTATCATGTTGGGACAGTTGGCCAAAATTGGGACTGGAAGCTTCGATCTTGTCCTTGATGCAGAGAAGTATAAAATTGAGATACCTCTAAATGCATACTCAGGCTTCGGAGGAGGTAAGACATACCATATATCAGTCTAAAAAAATGTCCTCTGTGCTGATTTGAAAATTATGAAAACTCACCCTAAAAGCACATGCTTCGAAACCTACATATTAAATCATAACATGAAATATGTTTGGAAAAGAAGAAGCAGCAGAGTTTCCATCTATGTTAACAAGAAATGTCTTTGAACAAGAAAAAAATCAAAAATATCTGTGTGCTTGTAACATTACTAGCGATAACAGTGTAGATAAAACACAAGATACCAAAATCATTATTCCTCACATCAGGAGACACAAGAAATTGCGATCAGAAATATAGCATAAAACATAAACATTTACAAAGACTTTATGCAATGCCCATGTTAATACAGTTAAGATAATCAGGAACAGTTATTGCATTGTCCATTGTATGTGTCCCGAGTGATCTGCCCTTACACTGCAATAAGGTGTTAAATCGTAGAATATAAGCAAATTTTTGTATAGGGACATTACCATCTTCTGTGTTTGCATATATTATGTCTCCCCTTCGAATATAGGGATACATATTGTATTTTGTAGTGGTTCTTCTTCTTCTGGTTCTTCTCATCAAACTTGTCCGGGCCATAACTTTTAAACCGTTAAAGATATCTGGAAGAAACTTTAGGTATGCATGCATCACCCACAGGAGCTGTGCAGTGCACTGGAATTAGGTCACTGTGACCTTCACCTCAAGGTCAAAGGTCAAATAAGTGCACATTTTCAGTAAATTCTTGTCCGGCCTGTAAATTTCAAACCATTAAAGACATCTTGATCAAACTTGAGCTTTATCTGCATCACCCACAGAAGGTGTGCAGTGCAATAGAATTAGGTCTCATGCTTGACTATATACATAGTTATGGCCCTTTGTTTAATTTAAATGCAGAAGTTTGTCCGGAGCATAAGTTCCATGTTATTTCACCTACGTTGACCACACTCATCATATCTTTGTATATTGGGAAGACGGAATCTCTCGCCCTAAAATCAGGTTTTGTGCTCCACTATATACAGAGTTATGGCCCTTTGTTTATTTTCAATACTGAAGTTTTTCCACAGCATAGCTTCTAAAGCATTAAAGATATCTTAATCAAACTTGAAGTATACCTGCATAACCCACAGAAGATGTGCAGTGCACTGGAACTAGGTCCCGTGCCCCACTATATACAGCATTATAGCCCTTTGTTTAATTTTAATACCAAAGTTTGTCCGGCGCATAAGTTCATGTTATTTCACCTACCTTGACCATACTTACCATATTTATGTATCTTGGGAAGACGGAATTTCTCACACTAAAATCAGATTTTATGCCCCACTCTACACAGAGTTATGTCCCTTTGTTTATTTTTAATACCGAAATTTGTCCATGGCATAGCTTCGTAACCATTAAAGATATCTTAGTCAAACTTGTAGTATACCTGCATCACTCACAGAAGGTGTGCAGTGCACTAGAATTAGGTCTCGTGTGTCACTATATACAGAGTTATGGACCTTTGTTTTATTTTAATACAGAGGTTTGTCCAAGGCATAACTTCCATGTAATTTCACCTATGTTGACCAAACTTGCGAAAGTTTTAATGTATCTTGGGAAGTAGGAGTGTCACATTCTAACTTCGGGTCTCGTGCCCCACTATATAAAGTTATATGGCCTTTGTTAATTTTTCATACTGGAGTTTTTCTATTAGCTTATAGGGGAGACATATGTTTTTGTTCACAGAAACAAAATTCTAGTTGAAACTAAACTGAACCCTTTAACTAAATTGAAAAACAACACAGCATTCAGTCTGCACTGTTGAAGTCAAATGATGCAAGGGGAATCCGAAAACAATCGTACACACCTCTGATGAGAAAAGAAAAGGAACAAATTCAGGTTTAATAAAATTAAATGTTAAAAATTAAATTGATTTATTTAAGCACAAATTAGGTTTGTAATTATTGGTTGGTCGTTACCTCAGCCTAGCGGAGCATATGAATGTTAGAGTTATCTCCCCTGTAACTTCCTCTTGCTATCTCAGAATCCATGATAATTAGCACAATCATATTTTGTTCAAACAAATTTAAGTTTTTGTATCTAAATTTTTGCTATTTTTAAGAATTTATTTATACTTAACGGAATTACAATATTTCAATTGATGAAATATCAATATGCCTACTTGGTAATGTTTCATGTATACTAGTAGTTTAAGCGTAGATGTTAGTTTGCCGGAGCGGCATGTTTAGCTCGGGGGGATAAGAGTGACCGCCATCGCCTTGCTGGAATATTTGTAACCAGGTTCTTGAATTTTGTGGGAATTTGCTATCAATTGTATAGTTTTTCATTGTGGGTGCGTATTATGTAACCTAATACTTTATCGTTGTTCATTAGTTTTTGGCAAATTCAAATATCTTTGTGTATTTCTGAGTTGTCGTTTTTTCGCGGAGATTGGCGTCGCGTGACATGGTGCAGCGATCACGAGTGATCACTGGTGTTAGTTATGGCACGGACTTAGATAGCATGTCATTCCGTGGTTATGGTCACTTATTTGGGATATGCTGGTAGGCCATTTTGTCTACATAATACGGTTAGTGAACCTTTGACGCAAGTGCCAGCATTTAAAAAAATATATGGTCGACTTGATACTTGAGTTTATATTTCACACATGTGTGTGTTTGTCTTAAGTTCGTTGGAGTTACCTCCCCTATTGTACTTGTGTACGTTTTATTTTTCTAAGTGTTTTTTTAGCATTCCGAGTTATTTGGGTAAATAGGTGTTTTTCGTATCGGATGTTTCATTGGTTCTGGGGTATTTGTATGTTTACATGTTCGCCGATTTTGATGCTCCGGGGTGATCCTGTCCTTATTTTGGAGCAGTGACATGTGTTTCTACACATGTGTGCATTTCGTTGTTGGAGTTACCTCCCATCTCACAGATGGAACATTGCACTGTAGCATACATGATTGTTTATAGCGGGCTGTTCAATATTAGTAGAGGATGCATGTGGTGGTCACAAAAGGTGTTGATGGTAATTATAATACCTCCAGCTAGTGTTAAGGAGGTAGGTCTCAAAAGTCATCCTTGGTAATAACCCAGATTATGTATCCCCTAAGGTAATTTTTTATTTTATACACAATTCTGTCATGTATGATATACCTATTGTATATTCAATACATAGTTAATGTGTTGTGATTTATTGGAAATGTCAGGTTTAATAACATATCAGCTGAATAAACCAAGTGCTTATATTATCTGTCAATTCGTCAATTTTTGACCAAACATAACTTGTCTTGAATTGTTTGTAACTTAATTCAGTTCTATGCTCAGAGTTAAATGCTTGTATAGTGTTATGTAACAGAAATTGATTTGAAATGGTCTCCAATTTAAATTATTTCTACCTGATTCAATTAGTCGAATAGCCTTGAGTGATCATAAAATTAATTGAACTGTTTTTGATATAATTTTTCAGTTTTTCTGCCTCGAGTTAAATTCAGCATGCCTAAGGCTAAATCAAACTCCAGGACGGTTCCAGGTTCCAGGAAGAGGGGCCAAAAGGTTGCTGCTACTGGGGCAGCAGGATTGTCCGAGGAACAGCTGTCACGGGTGGCTTATTCTGTGTTTGACAGGATGGCCCCAAGATTTGAGGAGTTAATAACTCCAATCAGAAACTCTCCAGCAATAGGTGAGAACATTGGTCAGCCCATTACAATTGAAGGGGGGTTTAATTATAGCTATCCCTCTCCCACTGCTGTTACCGGTGAACAGGAGGAATTAGGGGCTAATGTGCCGGAGGGTCTTCGCCAGAAAATCATAAATGGCGAATATGTGGATTTAGGGCTATTATTGGCCAAGCCAGTCAACCTGGAACAGTCTGCTAAGCTTACGTTAGTAGGGGGTGATGAACTGCGTATGTCTGCAAAGTCCCAGTCTGTGATTGCTAATGCACAGCTGAAATGCTATGACTTTAATTACAGTAATAACTGTAATAAGAGCCCATGTCATTACTTGCATAAATGTTTACGTTGCAGTGGTAACCACCCTTCCATGAATTGTTATCGTACTATGAATACCAGCAACGCTAATTTTAGATCAAGAGGTTTCCGAAATGGCAGAAGTTTCCAGGCCCAGTCAGCCGTTGGTGTACGGTTTGCTCGAGGATCAACTAGAGCTACAGACTCGAGCATTTAGTCCTGTTGATGTAAAAACTTTGGGAAAGAGCATTCAGTTTCAATTAAGGAAAATGAAAGTGCAGCCTTGGCCAAAGTGTTAAAAGAAGTAGAACTAGGGAGAATTGCGGGTCCCTTCCCATCCAGACCATTGGCTAATCTCAGGTTGTCGCCTATAGGTTTAGTTCTTAAAAAAGATGGAAGTTGGAGATTGATTCATCATTTATCTTTTCCAGAAGGTTCTAGTGTAAATGACTTTATAGACAGTTCTGCTTGTGCTGTACAGTATTCATCTGTAGATGAGGCCATTGATATGATCTGTAAGCTAGGTAAGGGTGCTTATCTGGCAAAAATGGATATCAAATCTGCATTCAGGCTGTTACCAGTCAACCCAGCTGATTTTGAGCTTTTAGGTTTTCACTTACAAGGGTCATATTTTGTAGAGAAGTGTTTGCCTATGGGTTGTTCTTATTCATGTGCTTTGTTTGAAAAATTTGCCACATTTTTGGAATGGCTGATTAAATATCGGTCCAAGTTAGAGTCTATAGTCCATTACCTAGAAGATTTCTTGTTTGCGGGGACTAGTGGTAGTAGTAATTGTCTCACACTGATGCAGGTCTTTACAGGTATGGCTCACGAATTAGGTGTTACTCTTGCTGAGGACAAAAGAGTGGGTCCTTCCCATATTTTAGTTTTTCTTGGGTACGAATTAAATACTTAAGATATGACAATTTGAATCCCAGTTGAGAAAACTCCGGGCGCTACTCACTGGGCTTCTTGTTGTAAAAAAAACCAACCTTGAAAAACCTTCAGTCAGTTGTAGGTGTCTTGAATTTCTTTTCCAGAGCCATCCTTTCTGCCCGGGCGTTCAATAGGCGGTTTTATGACGCTATGTCTGGGGCGTCAAAGCCGAGTCATCATGTTAGGATCACTCGGGGTATTAAGGAAGACATACATGTTTGGTTAACATTTCTGGATTTTTTCAATGGCTGTTCCTACTTCCCAGACAGTTTCTGGTCAAGTAATGATCAACTTCAGTTGTTTACAGACAGTGCAGGACAGGCAAAATTAGGTTGTGGGGCTGTTTTTCAGTCACACTGGGCATATTTTCAATGGCAAAAGTCCTGGGCAAACTCTGATGTTATGAGGGACTTAACCTTCCTGGAACTGGTTCCTGTCCTTCTGTCACTGATGATATGGGGTTCACTTTTACAGAACAAAAAATATCGTCTTGAACATAGATAATCAGTCCCTTGTCACAATTCTTAATAAGAAATCTTCAAAATCAAAAAGGGTCATGCAGTTAGTCTGTCCACTTGTGTAACATATGCCAAGTTGGGTAATATACAATTTAAGGCTGATCATAATCGGGGTATTCATAACAGTGTAGCAGATTCTATATCTCGTCTACAGTGGGCTCGGTTCCGGCAACAAGCACCAATGACAGATCCAGAGCCAGCAGCAATCCCAGTAGCATTCCAAATGTTGATCTCCAAGCTGAAACTACAAAATTGATTTCAGCCTCTATTTCTGAGAATACTACTAAAACATATGTTGCAAGTCTAAATGTCATCTCGCCAAGTCCTGGCCCCACCATTGCAGGATGTTATCAAGTTTATATCATATCTGTTTGTTGGCAATTATGCTCCCAGCACAGCAAAATCCTATCTGTCGGGTATAGCCTTTAAGTGTAAATTGTTAGGCCTAGAGGATAATACACAAAATTGTATTATCAGGAAAATGTTAGCAGGAATGCAAAGGTTGTCAAAGCTGGTAGATGTTAGGTTGCCTGTTACTCCTGAATTGTTGGTGTAGCTTCTACAGGCCCTTCACGTGGTTTGTTGTTCAAAGTATGAACAAATATTGTAATCTGCTCTTTTTTTCTGTGGCATTTTTTGGGTTTTTCAGAGTTGGGGAATTAGTAGTTGGTAAGCTGGTAGTTACCTCCCATACACTGTGTATTAATAATGTTGTGTTATCTGCATCAAGTGTTCAGTTGTCATTGTCTAGTTCTAAAACTGATCAATTAAGTAAAGGGGTGACAGTATGCTTGCCAGTAGCCAAGCCCCCAATATGCCCAGTTTTGTTGGTAAAACAATTCCTGGCAGTCAGGCCAAGTAAACCAGGTCCATTTTTAGGTCACCTGAGCTTTGCTCAAGTGACCTATTCGAATCGCTTTTCGTCCGTCGTCGTCCGTCGTGCGTCGTGCGTCATGCGTCGTGCGTAAACTTTTACATTTTCAACTTCTTCTCAAGAACCAGTGGATGGATTTTTTTCAAACTTGGTCAGAATCATCCTTGGTAGATGAGGCTTCAAAATTGTAAAATTGGGATTCCTACCCCAACCCCTGGGGCCAGGGCGGGGCCCCAAAGGGAAAATTATCCAATATTTCAAAAATCTTCTTCTCCAGACTCAGAGGTACTACAGTGATTTTCTCTACGTGGAAAGAAAGATCATCAGGGGCTTTACTTAAATTGTAAATTTCAGGACCCCCGAGCTATCCGTTCTCCCTTGGGGAGGGGGTAAAGTTTACTATAGTTTATATAGGGAAATAACACTTTTGGGTATATTTTGACAACTTTCTGTAGGAAATTATTTTTACTTGGTGAGAATTATCCTTGGAGGTAGATGGTTTCAAATTGTAAAATTGAGATTCCTACCCCGACCCCTGGGGCCAGGGCGGGGCCCCAAAGGGAAAATTAATCAATATTTCAAAAATCTTCTTCTCCAGACTCAGAGGTACTACAGTGATTTTCTCTACGTGGAAAGAAAGATCATCAGGGGCTTTACTTAAATTGTAAATTTCAGGACCCCCGAGCTATCCGTTCTCCCTTGGGGAGGGGGTAAAGTTTACTATAGTTTATATAGGGAAATAACACTTTTGGGTATATTTTGACAACTTTCTGTAGGAAATTATTTTTACTTGGTGAGAATTATCCTTGGAGGTAGATGGTTTCAAATTGTAAAATTGAGATTCCTACCCCGACCCCTGGGGCCAGGGCGGGGCCCCAAAGGGAAAATTAATCAATATTTCAAAAATCTTCTTCTCCAGACTCAGAGGTACTACAGTGATTTTCTTTACGTGGAAAGAAAGATCATCAGGGGCTTTATTTAAATTGAAAATATCAGGACCCCGAGCTATCCGTTCTCCCTTGGGGAGGGGTTAACGTTTAATATAGTTTATATAGGGAAATAACACTTTTCGGTATATATTTTATCCATTTTCAGCAGAAAATTGCTCAAACTTAGTCAGAATCATCTTGGGTAAATGAGAGTTTTACTTTGTAAAATTAGGATTCCTGCCCCATCCCCAGGGGCTAGGGCGGGGCCCCAAAGGGAACATTTACCAATATTTTCAAATTCTTATCCATTGATGACATGACAAGTATTGTATTTCACTTAGTTTACATGCTGATTTCCACATCACATCTAAACAATAAAATAAAGCTACCAGTACCTATGATATAACTCAGGTGACCGCTAAGGCCCTTGGGCCTCTTGTTTTGTCATTTTGGTGGTTTACCGGTAACAAAATATCAATTTAATGCAATGTTGAAAAAATCTCTGAACACAGCTGGAGTATCTACAGAGCCTTATAAATCACACTTTTAGAAAAAGCGCTGCTACTAGGGCTTCTGCAGTAGCTTTGTCTGATGCTGAAGTAAAAAAAACTGGGTAGATGGGAATCACAGGTTTTTAAGTCCTACATTTGAGTCCCAACCATGGAGTTGTGCTGAGGCTTGTAAGACTCATACAGTACCTTGCAGTAGGCTGGGTGAAAATTACTTAACATTGTATAAATTTATTTCAAATGTATTTTGGAGCACCTGTCATCTTTGCATCTGATTGTCAGTTTAAGACTTTCAGATGTCAGAAACCGTATTTGGATTGTGGGGTCCTTTTTAGTGTAAAGGGCCTTTTTCCATGCAAGGAAGTCAGGGGATAGAGTAAATCTTGGGCTGAGCCGCTACCATGCCAGTGTATGGTGGCAAAAGAAAGGTGGTCTACGTTGGAGAGAACTGGAGCCTTTCGTTAGACATCTGCTAACGGTCGAGGACATCCCCCACATTATGGTAATTCACTGTGGTGGGAATGATCTTGGGCAACTAATGAGTTGTGACCTCCGCCACTCTATATTAAAAACAATGGACAGTTTAATAAAGTTGATGCCAGAGACAATATTTGTTTGGTCGCAAATTTTACCTCGGTTGGAGTGGCGAAATGAAATTGTTCATGAGGCTGTTGATAGGGCCAAGGTGAGGGTCAATAGCAAAGTGGCCAGTCATTTTACAGCCATAGGATTGCCCTGATCTTTTTGTGGACAAAGTCCATCTGTCCAAGTTTGGCAATGAAATGTTCTTGTACCATTTGCAGCAAGGTCTTGGCAATATTCTTTCAAAAAAGTATTGATATCTAAATTGTTGTCAGGTTTGGGATTGCGATTACGATTATTTGGCTCTGGCGGCATAAGGTGCCCAGTCTAACTACTGAGTTGCTTGTCCTCACAGTAGTAGGCGGGTGTCTGATGTTTAAATTGAATTTTGCGGTATGGTGGCGTTGGCAATGCCTGCCATCTTTTTGAGTGACTGGCATTGCCATGTGGCGGTCTTTTGAGGCAACACCAGTACCGCTTCAGTGCAAATTTTTTACCATACTGACCAGTTGTCATTCAATGAACAGTTTCACTTGAAATAAGTTTGTGAAGTTAACAAATTGTATTTGCAATTTAATAGTATAATTAATTTGAAGTGTACAGCTGTTCCCAGTGTTCACTTGAATTGAAAATCTTTCTAATGGGACCAACTATTGTCGAATAAGTAATTGGTAAAGTGGGGAAAATGAGGTTTTGCAAGTTTGCACAAGTTTGCACAAGTTTGATCAAGTTGATCTACAGTTATCACAGTTTGGTTTGCCAAATGACTCTAATTTAGAGTCGGTAACCACATCTGTATGAAGCCGTGGCCATATAATCGCCAAACCTTAAAAAAATAAAAATATCATTGTAGCTAATTTGGTGTTTGCGTTTTTTGTGTCTTTGATAAAACATTTACAGACTCTTTCACATTCTTGCTGAAATATGATGAACTTAATTTTGTTTTGTGACTACATTTCACTTTGTTACTTTCAGCTGGCACTGGGTTCTTCTTTGGTGGAGGAAGCAGTCCGGCAGCTGGAATGTCTCCACAGACGATCTCCTGGCAACAAGGTGCCACTCCAGCATACCGCACTGCTTGGTCACCAGGGTTTGGTAGTGGTATGACACCAGGTGCTAGTGAGAGTGGTTACAGCCCTGAATACTCCCCAACAAGTCCTTCATATTCGCCCACGTCTCCAAATTACTCCCCCACAAGTCCCTCTTATCCTCCAACCAGTCCATCATACTCGCCAAGTTCCCCCTCGTACTCGCCAACTTCCCCCGGGTACTCGCCCTCGTCTCCAACTTACTCCCCCACAAGTCCCTCTTATTCTCCAACCAGTCCATCTTACTCCCCAACCAGTCCATCTTACTCCCCAACCAGTCCATCTTACTCCCCCACAAGTCCATCTTACTCCCCAACCAGTCCATCTTACTCCCCAACCAGTCCATCTTACTCCCCAACCAGTCCATCTTACTCCCCAACCAGTCCATCTTACTTCCCTAGTTCCCCCTAGTTCTCTCCAAGAACTCCACAGTACTTGCCCTCGCCTCCAAATTACTCCCCGACTAGCCCAGCAGCGGCTGTACCGGAAAAGAGATGCAACAAGTGAAACTATAGTTTTAAGTCTATAAAAGGACTTTTAAAAGCCTTAAGTATTCTAATGACAGATAGGAGTGGAGAGAATAATTTAGAGGTATCGGGTTCATACCCTAAAGGGTAAAATACAAATACACTCCTGAAGGCTGGGAGATGTAATTGGAGGCAATTGCAGATGTTTTCTGGGGGTCAGAATACAAAAAACTGAGTGCCAAAATAGATAAAAGACCAACAAGCAGCAGGGTAACTCGTACAATATTTATTTTTTCCCTCTTTCGTTCTTTTAGGTTCCCCAAGGGTTAAAGAAATAGGCGTGAGAATAATAGGATAAGGGATAGTTATTATTACTACATACGTTTATAAGAGGTGAGGGTTCGGGGAGTTATGTAAGGATTGGCTAGTCATGAGAGAGCGAAAAAGGTCAGGTAAGCCAATCACCGAACCACACTTCAAAATGGTACCGCTGGCTGGAAAAGGAGGACATGAGGATGGCAGCTCACATCCGACAGCACCGATGGTAACCCCCATCCCCCCACCCCCCAATTACTAATGGGACTGAAAAACTGGGTAGATCGTGGGAGTGGAATTCACACTAAAGATGGGATTCCGGAATTCACTTTCCACAGGTGATCAGGAGGTTTATGAACTCTGCGTTGTTGTCATAAAAACAACCAGGCTCGTAACAAATGATATGTGATGATGAACGTTGTGTCGTTTTCATACAAGGGCACAATAACAGAGAAATACTGGGGGTTGATCTACAACAAACGGTTGAGGATCTGAGACTAACTTTCCTATTAGCAGCAGAACGAGGAACATTGAGATACAGCCATCGGGAGTGGACTTCAACTTAAGGAAGAGATTCTGGAACCCACTTTCCGCATAGACAGTGAGGCTAATTTTCCTAAGCAATTATATTGTAAGAACTGTGTTAAAGATATTCGAGAACTATGCGTGTGTCGGAGGTGGTTTCCCACGTAGGGTGAGGACCCGTAAACCACAATTCCATGATGACGAACTTTGATAATTATATGGGTGTACAAATATGACAATCGCGATTTTGTTTTATTTTTATTCCATTATCTCATTCCGTGGATATTATCTAGGTGTGTGCACTATTGATCTAATGAACATTATCATGTGAACTTATTTTGTCAGATGCGCAGCTAACTTGTATATATTCCTATAATCGTGTGGATCCTTTTATGATAATAATAATCTCTTAATGATATCACAGAACTGATTTGTGTGTATATATTATAAGCGGAAACACAATTGTTGTAATAATTTGAATTTGTTGAAATATCATTAATGATTACATGTACCCACTAATAGGCTTTTATTTCCGACTAAAGTAGAAGACCTTGAAAATAGGTTCTCCCTTGGGGGAGGGGGTAAAGTTTACTATAGTTTATATAGGGAAATAACACTTTTGGGTATATTTTGACAACTTTCTGTAGGAAATTATTTTTACTTGGTGAGAATTATCCTTGGAGGTAGATGGTTTCAAATTGTAAAATTGAGATTCCTACCCCGACCCCTGGGGCCAGGGCGGGGCCCCAAAGGGAAAATTAATCAATATTTCAAAAATCTTCTTCTCCAGACTCAGAGGTACTACAGTGATTTTCTCTACGTGGAAAGAAAGATCATCAGGGGCTTTACTTAAATTGTAAATTTCAGGACCCCCGAGCTATCCGTTCTCCCTTGGGGAGGGGGTAAAGTTTACTATAGTTTATATAGGGAAATAACACTTTTGGGTATATTTTGACAACTTTCTGTAGGAAATTATTTTTACTTGGTGAGAATTATCCTTGGAGGTAGATGGTTTCAAATTGTAAAATTGAGATTCCTACCCCGACCCCTGGGGCCAGGGCGGGGCCCCAAAGGGAAAATTAATCAATATTTCAAAAATCTTCTTCTCCAGACTCAGAGGTACTACAGTGATTTTCTTTACGTGGAAAGAAAGATCATCAGGGGCTTTATTTAAATTGAAAATATCAGGACCCCGAGCTATCCGTTCTCCCTTGGGGAGGGGTTAACGTTTAATATAGTTTATATAGGGAAATAACACTTTTCGGTATATATTTTATCCATTTTCAGCAGAAAATTGCTCAAACTTAGTCAGAATCATCTTGGGTAAATGAGAGTTTTACTTTGTAAAATTAGGATTCCTGCCCCATCCCCAGGGGCTAGGGCGGGGCCCCAAAGGGAACATTTACCAATATTTTCAAATTCTTATCCATTGATGACATGACAAGTATTGTATTTCACTTAGTTTACATGCTGATTTCCACATCACATCTAAACAATAAAATAAAGCTACCAGTACCTATGATATAACTCAGGTGACCGCTAAGGCCCTTGGGCCTCTTGTTTTTAGTTATAACAACTATCGATATAATATGTATAAATATAGATTTGTTCCAATATATACTAAAGATACATGCTTGTGAAAAGGAAATCTACTCTTACTAAATACTCGTCGAATTTATTTAAACAAATTTCAGTCTTTAAAAACATCAAGTTGTATGAATGCATAACCACGGACTTTATCCAATTCCGTGTACAATATCTAATTTTAAACATAAACTTAGTCCCGTGCAATTGAATAGATTCTTGATATATGAAATCCATTTAAAAGTCAGGTTTATAAGCCATTTACAAAACTGTACATGGAATTTCTCAATCATATTGGTATTTTTAAACCCCAACATTTCTGAGGAGTTCAAAGGATTGGGGATATTAATACATTAAACAATTTTAATAGGTCAATTGGTAAAATAATATTTCTATTTTTTTTTTATATATATAATGCATACATTGCTTTTTGAGCCTGTTCAACAAGTTTTGTTCTGGCTTTGCAGAAACTGCCATTATAATGAAACAGCTGTCCTAGAAACGAGTAGCTGTCATGTGTTTGCAACTCTTCACCAAAAAGAGTAAAACGAATATTTTGTGCAATTACTTTTACTTTTTTCAAAGATAACAACTTTAGTTTTATTGAGATTAACTTTAAGTTTCCAAATAGTACAGTAAGCTTCAAATTCATGGAAAGCATTCTGTAGACCTTTAGCTGTTTCTGACATAACAACTGTGTCATCTGCATATAGCAGAATAAATAATTTAACAAATAGACCCACGCGTTCTTGAAATAAATTATTAATATACTGGAGTTGCTCAACATTACTTTGCATGAAAAATTCTTCTAAATCATTTAAATATATTGAGAACAAAAATGGGGAGAGATTTTCACCTTGTTTTACGCCGATGTGACATGTGAAAAAATCAGTCATACCATTGCTAGTTTTTTCCCAAGATTTAGTGTTTGCATACAGATTAATTATAGCATTAAATATCTTTCCTGTGATATTATTCTTCAATAAATTCCTCCATAAACCTACCCTCAAAACAGTATCAAACGCTTTTCTGAAATCAATTAATGAATGAACAGAATAGCTTTTTACTTTTTGAAAAGTATATAGATATTAAAGCATGAAGGATAAATATATTTTCAGTTGTAGAATAGCCTTTCCTAAAACCAGCTTGAACATTGGAACAAGAAGTCTATTGTCTACTATAACGGAATTAGATAATCAGTTTTGACCACATCGGCCGTTGAAAAAAAAAGAAACTTTAAGCGTTTCACCGTGTTTCTTTCTTCTTTATATATACAATTAATATACAGTATTGTTTATCTAAAACAGATAAGGCCTAACGGCAATCCAACATATGGACTTCAGTATTTATTTACGTAAAACACGTATTTCAATTAATTTATACTTACATATAGAATAATATTTAATACTTTTAATTCGTTGCAATCCTTTTATCAAATGACGTATATTGTACCCGATAAAAAAGATATAATAATATATATATATATATATAATTTAGTCCGATTCTGCCCCGATCATGTAATTGAAATCCTTCTACTTCAACTAGTTCGTTCTCCTTTCTCCCACTTTTTTCTGATCAAAGGAATTATATAAACACTGGAAAACAATAGATGTGGGAGAAAGGAGAACACACCCTTCTACTTCACCTACTTCAGCATAGTGAAGATCATGTCATATATAGGTGTAGCGCTATGAAAAGAAAGGAACAGATTTTTTTTTTTTTTTTTTTTTTTTATCAAATATATCTTATACCTGATAATGATACTTAAATGTATCTAATATATACATTCATTAATAGATTTCTGCCCGTTCCTGCCCTTTTCTGTAAATCGTCGAACCCCTAGTCATGGCATTTCGGTGATGTTTTCTGCACCAAATCGCATATTTCCAGATAGGATGTGTCAAACAGCAGTAAATAACTCAAGAAATGTGATATTTCACAGTAATAAAGAAGTATTTGGTTCATAACTGGGTAGTATGGGGTAGTATTGGGTGGTATGGGGTAGTATTGGGTTATACTCGTAGTCACGGCACATTCGGTGATGTTTTCGGCACCAAATCGCATATTTCCCGATAAAATATGGCAGATGGAAGTAAATAACGTCTACAAAGGTGATATTTCACAGTAATAAAGAAGTATTTGGTTCATAACTTGGTCGTATGGGGGTAGTTTTGGGTAGTATTGGGTAATTAGACGCGCCCCACGTGCGTGACGATGATATGTTAACACCAAATATAGAGATTTTACGGGGTAATGTATAATCACACCTACTTTAGGAATAATGTTCCAATTTATAGACATAAACTGACTCACGAGAAGACACTTACATGAGATCAGACGACCTCAAGCAGGTCATATATGAAACACATGGAATGCGGACTGATGTGATTTGTGAACCGACCTCACATGTGCATATCACGTGCTTACACGAGTTCATAAGCACAAAGTAGTTACGATTTTCGCTGTTGAGCGAGTTTCGCTCTGTCGATTAAATCGTGCTTAGCTAACCTGGTCCGAATGACCATATATAGTGAGCGTATGCTGTGGCGCAGCGTCCGTTTTCCGTCGTCCGTTGTCCGTCTTCAATTTTTTCTTTAAAACCCATCTCCTCCTTATATAAACACCAGAGAGAATTTCAACCAAATTTTGTCCGAAGCATCAGTAGGGAAGGGCAATCATTTCTTTAAAAAAATGAGATTGGTTCGACCCCTGAGGCCAGGGGGGCGGCGCCCTGAAGGGGAACTTAGCTATATTTGCTTTAGAACGCATCTCCTCCTAAACGCCAATTGTCTAATTACACCCTGTAATATGACATATTACTTATTTCAAAATCTGTTTAAATGGCAACTCAATGGAGGCCCCTCATTAGTTGAAAGTCAGATATTGTGGTCCCAGTTGGGTTAGAACATAGATCTTGTCTGGTTTTGCGAAAATTTCATATAAAGATGTACTAATGAATTCAGTTGTAATGACTTAGATATAAAACCAGGTGAGCGATACAGGTTCAATGGGCCTCTTGTTGTTATATGTAAACAGAGACAACTGTCATTGTGTAAATTTTATCCCTCTGCAAAAAGTTCCGATTTTTTTCAAGGAAGATAACTCTCACCAGGATCAAATTGTTTGTTAAATGTAAAATAAATTAATTATAAAGCCATCTTTGGGTCCTGTTTGCTTTTAGCTTGTAGAAAATCACTTTTATCCGTACAAATTCAATAAAAAAACACTTTGTGTAACATATGTTACATATTTTGCGATAAATAAAATATTTGTAGGGTTAATTAGCAATGCTTCGTTTCATTTTTAGCTCACCTGCCCGAAAGGAGCTTATGCCGTGGCGCAGCGTCCGTCGTCCGTCGTCGTCAACTTTTTCTTTAAAACCTATCTCCTAACTCCAAAGAGGATTTCAACCAAATTTAGTCTGAAGCATCACTAGGGGAGGGCAATCACTTGTTAAATAAATGAGGTTGGTTCGATCCCTGAGGCCGGGGGCGGGGCCCTGAAGGGGAACTGAGCTAAATTTGCTTTAAAACGCATCTCCTGAATACCGAAAACATCATATGCCGAACTAAAGTTTATAAAATGTAACCTATGATTTATTTGCACTCATAGCATCAAGGCGTTTTTTTGCAATTTGTGCCAGATTTAAGTGCCTGAAGCTAAAACAGATAGGCCTATATATCTAATAAATATTGACGCGGCCATCTTTCTGATTCTTTCGATACGTACATACCTAGCTACTAGATCATTTTGATATGAACCTGGACTTGTGTTAGGAAAACCTGAAACGTTATTAGGTAGCCGACTAGATAGTGCGAAAGCAGTATAACAATAGTTCCCAATCTCGTCACGTTTTTATCCGGGAACCGTCGCCACTTTCCGTAAAATAGCGGAAAGTGTCAACGGTTCCAGATTGCGGACATTGTGCCCTCTGTCAATGCCGAAAATGGCGTTGACATTTTCACCAATATATTTCAGTTCGATTGATTTTTTGGCAACATTCTGATAGCTTGTTTGTGTTTCAGTATTATGTCGTTCTCTTTGAATCTGTTTTGGATCACACAAACCACAATACCATCTGATGCTCACATGTATATTGATATATTATTCATTCTTGGTTTCCACAGCATACAAATCCATCACCCCTTCCCAAATTCCCGTATTTATTCTGTTGTACATATTACTTCATTCCTGTAGCTAGTGTTGAAAAGTTGATTATTAAGCAGGTAACAAATTGACATAAGTGTCACGGCAATAAAATGTACAATTTGTATTACAATGTACATTTGTATTGTCAAAAAATTTGAATAAAACAAAATTTAAACCAAATCCTTGTCACTTTCTGGATTATTTGACTAAAACATGCTTGACATTGCTTGTGTTTATTTTGAAATTTCATTCCCGAATGATTGGCTTTTAATGCGCCTTCTGTATCCACATTTAGTTTTCGCTTGTAGACACAATGTTCATACACCGTGAGACAAGTTTGTGATGTACTTTCGTTTAGTGTGTACAAGAGTGTAGGGTTTTCAAGTCCTTGTAGAAAATTTCGGTTTGGAATCGGAGAAGAAACTTTGGGTAGATAACAATGATTATCACTCGTCTGCTTTTATTGTTGCCCAACGTCATCGAATGTAACCGTGGTTAACTGTTATCTACAGTTGATAGTTTTTACCATTTAAACATTTGTACAAATCACCATTCAATTGTCTCCCTTTGTCGTGCTCTGGCCAGTTCTCGCCTTCCAATGCCAGTTATGAATACCACTGTGCAGAATGTCGGAAAGTGATGCAACTTCGGTGAATTTCAGTATTAATTAGAATAACTCACGAATTATAAAACTGGCCAAGCGACACCGCAGTAAATTTGGGCTATAAATGATAAGGTGCAATTACATCCATTTCAGAATTCCCCCAAAAATATACATGCGTAAAAGATGTGCATTGTTTGGTTGCCTTACAAGCGTCAGCTGTAGGGAATTCCCTTCAGCTCAGGGGTAGAGCATCGGGCTGGAGAGCCAAGGGTCGCGGGTTCGAACCCCAGCGACGGCACTATCTTTATCACTATTCCTTGTCCTATTACATATCGGTGCCGTTGACCCTCCCCGTTCAAGGTTGGAGAACCCTTGGCGAAGAGTCGAAGAACCTGGGTTGGTGCTAGAAAAAAGGGAGGACTGGTGTAAAATATATGCATTGATTAGGTTGCGTTACAAGCGTCAGCTGTAGGGAAATCCCTTCAGCTCAGCGGTAGAGCATCGGGCTGGAGAGCCAAGGGTCGCGGGTTGACAAAATGCAAGCAGATTATTTTTAAATATGTGATATTGACAATAGAAGACGTTACATTTTGCAAAATGTTTTTACTGCATTAGGCTGTATTAGGATCTCCAGATAAAATGTTTGTGCTAAATGTAACATTTTATCTTGTCAATAACACATACATAACATTAAAACTAAGATAAGTGTGTGATATGGTCAGTAAATAATAATAAGACAAGTTGTTTTCAAATATTAATAAGGGTGAGGACCATTCAATACCAGATATTCAATAAGTCCGAATGATTTTTCGATCAATAAAACGTTTAAAATATAACTGAATATCTAAGAACTACGTATAATTACTGAACACATTCAATCCCACCTCATCGCGGAAAACACTTATTTATTGATATTCAGTTCCCTTATTTATTAAAAGGCGTTTGATGAGATTTGATGTGTAAATTATTTGAAGATTTAGTTTTCTCTCGATTACTACTTGTGAGGTAAATGCATATTCTTCAACAATAAAATCAACGTACCCCTCTAGTTTGTAACAATAATCGAGCTGTTTAAGTCTCTGCATTAGACTTAGCTTTACAGTGTTGTTGTCAAACAAATAAATTCGGTAGAGTATAAGGTCTTACCCCAACTGATTCTATCTTCAAAAAAACACCTGAAATAAGTTACCTGAGAATTTATGCACGATATTTTATCATTTTAATAAAATCATTGTTTTTTTCAGCTGTTATGGCGACTTCCAAATATTTGCTTCAACTAAGTTATAGGCCTGCTTATCTGTAAACAGGTTTCGTTGTTTATGAAATCACGATAAGAATAAGATAATTTTAAAATAAAGATAGCTTGTTCCCATAATTCAATCTGGTTACAACCTTATTTGCATCTCATCCTATCAAGTTTCGACATCTCACAAATGGTTATAGAACACAACACAAGATATTCTCTATATTTTGAATAGGCATTTTATTTTCATTTCATCACAATTTTAAGACGCATTTTGAAGCATTCATAATTTTTACACAATTGCTGTAACCTCGGCTCAGCACGACCTCACCTCAGTATAAGTGCAGTGTTATATGAGCCTGCACAAAAGTGGGAAATGATAAAGCAATGATGCATTAGGATGTTTAAGAACTGAATCTTACCTAGTGAATAAGGGACTTAATGTAATGAAGAATTTTTGAATTACATACATTGCCTTTCTAAAATCCCTATATTTAATTTTTTACATTAATTAACATTAAATTAGAAAGATTGATAATGATAGTTGCTCTTTGACTAAAGTAACGTTTAACCAATCGGGTATATATTTGCATTATCTAAGCCACATAAATTGCGTGTATGATGACAATTTAACAATTTTCACTTCAGAATGACTGCCACTTTAGTGACGTTCCCTTTATATTAAGTGATAATCAAACGGACTTCAAAATGTGGAAATTTTTATACCATCTGTTTAGCACTCGTAATATCTCAACTCTTCCTCAAATAAATTAAATCATATTTAGAATATTTTGACACATTCACATCAGCCTGTCTTTTTAGGAAGCGGGCTTCTGACATCTTTAGGGGCTCCAAAGGCTTTTGAATATTGTTTTTTGTCCCCGGAGATTTTGGTTTGAGGGTTAAGGTGGGAATCGGCCCGAGCTTCCTCCCTTTCCTGGATAAGTTTTCGTTTTAGTTTTCGTTCACCCGCAATGAATTCTCTGAAATAAAAATATTGAATAAATTATAAAGAATCCCATTACCAATATATAATAGCATTCTTTACTTCAGACGCATTTACTCATATCAGACATGTAGCCATTTTCAAATATAATTCAGGCGTCATTCTCATACTTCAATTTCTTGATCAAATAATCTTTTATTTTTTTAATCTTTTTCTCTTACGTCCTTTTTGCTTTATTTCATTATAAAAATGATAGAGAAAGTTTAGCTAACTTGATATTACTTAAATGTTGATCACGTACATTCATAGGTTATAATGCGAATACAAACGGAAACTGCACGGAAACAAAACCACATTTAAAGATATACCGAAATGTTAGCTGAAATCAATGTTAACTATTAGTTTCGCTTGATCCTCCACGATTGATAAAAAACAAAACACACCATAGTACATTCATTGAACGACAAATACACTTTTCGAAACAGAACCGAACAATGATCAAACTTACTTTCCAAACAGACAATGCTGCGTGATGTAATATTAGATATACGCCACAAAACAACGAAACTTCAGACACTATGAATTTTTCTTGTACAAACAGCTTTAGGTTTCAATTACATTGTGATCATAAACACGTGTTCAGGATAAGATTGTAAAAAGGGGAACTAATGTTTCTTGTTAAGTAATGTTAGGAACACGTCAATCAAAAGAGGCACATACAAATTTACCGGTAACTACATTAATTAACTGCAAGGTTTTCTTCTCTCATCTTTTGAAGACTATGGAAGAAAGAAAGCAGTCAAAACTAATTCAGGCAGCATGCAGTACACACAATACATACGTTCGCACAAATTCGTGTCAACAACGTAGACAACATACACAGACTAAACATACAATCTATGATTATCTGTAGTAAAGTTCCTTTTCGCGACCTGTCATCGAGTCGACATAGGCATTAAACAGAAGAGGAGTTGAGCATTGCCACGTAACAGGACGGACCGATGAATGGCTAGTTGCAAAAAGCTTACATACCACTCCCATTAAAGGCTGAAGAACTACGACAGTCCAGCCCGAGATACTCAGAAGAGAAGTTGTACAGGGCAGGCCAACCTCATTTAACAAGAATGAGTTTTTGAAGACCACCCCTACCATTTACGATTTTAATACAGACACGCCCCTTTCAACACGAGATACAGTGTACATGTCTTACAGACTGAATTAGGAGAAAACGTTTACACACCAACCTGACAAAAAGGAGATATATTTTTGCAATAATATATATTATATTATATTAGATTATAAATGCAAGCTATATAACTGATTTGCCATGTACCAAGATACCACACGCTTGGACGGTAACCCTGTGCAATACTTGATACTTCTTATGCAATACATTAATTTGTGAAGAAAAAAAACTGCACACGTTGCAAGAAGAAAAGTCGATTTGTTGATTTGAATATGGAGCAAAATTTGAGGATATGATAGAGCAGCAAATAAGTGACGTCATGGTAGACAAAGGCACTTATTGGTTTTCCACTTTTTCTATTTTTCTTCACTTATCACTAGATAAGACATTTAAGAAGAGCAGTAGAGAATGGCTGGATCCGGTTTTCACTAGTATGTGCCGGCATGTTGTTGAAGGAACGTTTGTTGCACACAAGCGTTACTGTAGTTTATTGTGTCTCACATTATCTGCCAGTGCTAGTTCTATGATCAAGTGATTTGGGCATTATATAACACGAATCCTGAGTAAATAACACTTTTCGCATTTGACATTGTTTTCCTTCCCTACGTCATAAATGCTTATATATGCACAATCTTATGTAAATTAGACTATGCTGACTTTTGACACATATCAAATTTGGTTTAATTTTTGATGTTACTCATGGTTATTTTGGTTATCTATAATCTTATCTTAATAAGGAACATAAATCAAGGCTATTTCACCAATTGTACTTCGTACGGAACTAAAAAATGTAATAAGCTTCGTAGAAATATCCATTGTAAATGGCGATTATTGTAAGCTTCATATGTAGAAAACGTAGAATATGTGCTACATAAATAGAGAACTTGAATAAAGCAAACTACATTTTAAGAAATGTTAATAAGTAACAAATGCAGAATAACATGAAGTTATTTCAAAAAAAAAAATGTAAAATATGAAAAGCTTCATTTTCAAGCGAATAGCACGAGCTTATTAATAGAAAATCACAGCCTGTTAAAATACTAATAAAAAGTGAACAAGCATAGTAATAGGACAGACACATAGAACGTTTCATAAATAAAGATACAGGATGTCGCAAGCTGTGTAAAAAGCAAATGTAGAACTTTACATGCTGCCTTTACAAAAAACGTAAGATATTGCAAACTTAAAAGAAAATGCAGAATATCACAAGCTTCATATATGTAAAATGTAGAATATTACATATCCAGTTTTCCTATATCTGAGAATTTGCAATTCAAAATTAGTATAGCTAGTTGAACGAAAATAGTGATCGTGTTAAAATCTACGACCAATTCACCCTAAAGACTGATAATCGTTTATTGTCTGATAATAGGCGAAATATTCGAGTCAAAATCCAGCATTACAGTTAGCATATAATCAACTCATGGTCGATTGTAAACAGGAGTAAACTTAGCATAACCGAACATATTGAAAGAAGAATGATACCGCTAATGATAGAGAAGATGGCTTGGGTAACAAAATTCTCCATTAATATACAAATAAAGCTTGACAAAAACTATCTAGCATCACAACGTCAACATAGCATGCAATGCACGGGTATTCCTTTACCTGTAAGTACCGGGGTACAGTCGCTCCATCCTTCTCACCCCGGTTTCTAACCTATCGATGCTTAACGTAATGTAAGTAATTGTCAGTTGGTTAGTACATGATCAAGTGAACAATATATTAGACTTTTTGTCTTTATTCTTTTTTATTATAACATCAGTCGATTGAGCTAAAACAGAAATATTTGAAATAGTTGAGGGTGCTATATCAAACTGAACACCATCTTTAACACTTTTCCGGAGTATATAAAAAATAAGGTGACAAAACATATGGCATGATATGTATTTAAACTATGCTATTCGTCATACATCGAAAACTTTAATACAAAATATATCTTGGCATTAGGTCCCCTTACTCTAAAAACGTTTTTTTTTCTTTATACTTGCAAATTGCATATTTCGCAATACATATACAATAGTGAGTATTGAAACAGGGTGTTATGATAAGAGGACATGAATTAATGTTAATTAAACGTTAGCTGACAAGAACCAAACCCAACAGGCACTCAGAAAATAAAAGTAAGTGAAGTAAATTATTGAAAGGTGTAAAATTAATTCACACGAGTTATTATTATGCGATACGTATATAAGATGTGGAATAGAATGTTGATACTTACAGAAGATCTACGGATCCGTCCTTGTTTGTGTCCAGATAACCCATGACGGAGTCTAATGCTGCACTGCTGATTGGGAAGCCCTCCAACTGTACAACATCAAATCGACATGTAAATAACTACAATAATTACACAGGGACATTGTTGGGGTAACCGTCCAACTGTACAACATCAAATTCACATGTAAATAACTACAATAATTACACAGGGACATTGTTGGGGTAACCGTCCAACTGTGCAACATCAAATTCACATGTAAATAACTACAATAATTACACAGGGATAGTGTTGGGGTAACCGTCCAAACGTACCACATCAAATTCACATGTAAATAACTACAATAATTACACAGGGACATTGTTGGGGTAACCGTCCAACTGTACAACATCAAATTCACATGTCAATAACTATAATAATTACACAGGGATAGTATTGGGGTAACCGTCCAACTGTACAACATCAAATTCACATGTAAATAACTACAATAACTACACAGGGATATTGTTGAGGTAACCGTCCAACTGTACAACATCAAATTCACTTGTAAATAACTACAATTATAACACAGCACCACAGATGATAAAGTACTCAAATAATACAACACTTGAATTCTACAATAGCTACAATTATTACACAGTCATATTGATCGGGAAAACATCGAACCTACCAACACTTGTCTGTGTCTATCTATCAGTATATTACTTATATTAAATTCTATGAACAAATGAAAAGCAGTACATTGTAAGATAAGCCATAAAGAAATAGATACACAAAATTCAGAAAGAAGAAACGCTTAACGTATCTTTTATGTGATGGCTTTTGTCTATAAATATAAATTATTGAATGAATATATTTAAAAACATCAGATTATACGTGTTGTATTAATATGTGTGACACATCTTTTGAATATGATATACATCCGATACAAAAATATTCTGTGTACTATATGCTTCAGACGACCACCTTCATGAAACTTGTTAAAATAATATTTTCCTCCAATTTCTTAATGCATCAAATGTAATATTAAAAGCGACGAAATGATCAAAAAATGTTCTCAAATGTATATTTCAACTATATCGGCTTACCTCAAAAGCAAACTGCATCTCTTCCCTTGTAAGTGAGTTATCGTTGTCCTTGTCAATCTTCAGGAAGAGATCAATGGTACGAAGATGTTCCTTCATGAAGAAAAGGATCCTGACTGGATCAATGTTAAAAATGTTCTTAGAATCTGCCTTGAAAACCCTGGCTTTGTTTAGAGGCAGTGCCATATCGTAACGCACTATAAACATCCGGATTTTCTGTATTTCTTCGAGTGTGCTTTTGAAGTCCTTGTCCACAACAACTCCCTGGAAACAGGCAAAGACATTGAAATGATAATTGTATCCATTAAATTACTATTCAAGTTAATCTAAAATGTAAAGGTCTCTTGTATAAAGCTATTAGTCAATTAACTTTAAAACATCTGACTATTGTCAAACGGTTGTTATTATAAATAAGCATGATCATGTTTATAGCCATTTACTAACAAGCAAATTCGTGGAATGTATATACCCCGCTTGCAGGACATATTGTAGGTTAACATTATTGAGGTTAGGTTTAAACAAGTGAGTATCGTGCTGACATAATTTATAGCTTGAAATTTGAAGAAACAAAAACCCCTATACCTCATTGAATATTCGTAAATATGCACAAATCACATCAATTGGCAAACTTAGCATGAGTTGGATGTGCGTACGGAATTGGAACAATATCTACATCAATTATCACACGAAAACCAAAGAGTGCCCGAGATGGGTGGAAAGACAGGGGAACACAAACATTGTTATCAAGTTTAAATGAATTTGGCTAATATTTGCTAGAGTTATTAAGCGGAAACTGCAACTGATTGAAGGGGTTTTCAAACTTGGCTGAGCCCTTAATGCGTTGAACCCTGTTACTAAGTTTGAAAACAATCGGATAATATTTGCGAGAGTTAATGAACAGAAACGGTAGATGATGTTTTTCGTTATTCAAGGGCCATAACTCCGCCAAATGGGGTCCGCTGAAAATGGTCATCGAACTTGACCGAGCCCTTAAGGCATTTAACCCAGTGACGTAGTTTGAAGAAAATCGGTTTACATTTGTTGTAGTTATTGGACGGAAACGGAGCGGGACAGACAGACAGACAGACAGACAGACAGACAGACGGCCAAACTCAAATTAATATCCTCCGTTTCGGTGAAAACGGGGGATAACAACACATGTAACCAACGTCTGTGGGGAAAACTGCGACAGAAAACATTATAAAAGAGCTAAAGAAATCAAACTTTGCCTACCTCGATATCTAATTCCGTTAGACTGCTTTCCTTAGCATGCAGTAACCGATTCAATACGATGGTGGACATCGGGGCAGTAATTGGGTTATGTGCTAGCTAGAACAGAATATTTCACCAAAATATAAAACATAATATATAACAAAATCCAGTTTGTTTATCGGCAAATCATATAAAGGGTATAGTTAAAGCTAAAATGAATACAAGAACATATATGTCTGATGTTATTGAAAGGGGACTTGATCTATATTGGGACCAATTGGTAAAGCATATGCAATTATATTTATTTCCCCTTGCCTCAAAGTTATTATTACAGAATTTTGTCATAGTTGTAAAATGACATTCAACGATTCTATTTTCTGATGTAATTAATGAAGGATACTCAATATATTATCTACATCGCACGATTTTTTTTACAAATTATAGCTTACTCTTAAGGAGGCCAGGGTCTTGTTTTTCTCCAACCCTTTAAGGAGTTCAAACAGAGCGGGCGGATGTACACGGTTGTTGGCCAGATCGAGGCTCATCAAACAGGAGTTGCTCTCTAATACTCGAGACAAGGCAATACACCCCTCAAATCCAAAACCATTCCAAGCTAGATTCACTGTGGTCAACTTTGTGTTTTTCTGAAAATAAATTGTACAAAACAAATGCGTCGTTGTAAATCAGTGTTTACCTGTATACATCAATACTTTGTATCATACGTAACATATACAGGATCTTACATGAGTTTCCATTTCATTTGAGATTTATGAAACAAGTCTTAGAATATTTCAATTTAGCGAGCCTCTGGCGAGCTAAACAGAAAAAAATCGTTTTTATCACATAATCATTTTTATATCACATAATCAAAATTTGTGGCATTTGTTCGTGTCTGTGATGTCATGTTCTTGTCCTAAGCGTGACGTCACAGTCGAAACAATTTAAACTTACAACCAATCACAGGGATGATAGGTAATATTACATTGGTTAATACGCCAAAAAATATGACATGGTATATTCACTGGATAGCACAATACATTATGTGATAAAAAGTTTTACTGGTAGTTAATTTTATCAATATCATGACCTCTAGATCTGGTGGATGACACAAATAAACCACTCACCTCTAATCCCTGGGCTACCCCTATTGCACCATAGCCTCGTATGTGGTTCCAACTCAGGTCAAGACTGACCATTATCTCGTTTTCCTCTGTAATTAATGGAAATCAACTAGTTATCTAATGTTTTATGTTAGCATTATACAATGTACCAAAACCGAAGAAATAGGATACTCGTAAATATGCACAGAATTTTACTTAATACAACAAAACTGATTCGATCAGTAGATATCTTAGTTTTAAATTCATTGTCCTATACCTGAACCTAAAATCACTGTCTGAACCAGGAACTCAGTTTTCAGTTTTTAACCTTGACCTTGGAATTCACAGCCATCACCTTGAACTCAGAAATACATTCCTATACCCTGAACTTGGACCTGGTTATGATTTACTGTTTACCTACAGGTCTTGTTTTATTCATACTTGTACGACCAATTTGTTTTTCTGAACACTTTCACAGATATACATCGCCTACTTACTAATGGCATGTCCAATCATGATGGCGCTTTCTCCAAGTTTGTTCTGTGATAAAATCAGATCACCGATACTTTCGTTTTTCTAAAACAAAAAACCCATGATTATCAAATTGATGTTGGGGATGTGTCTTAATCTATGTTTTATATGACAAAACTTATATCAAGACTGCTACATATAGAAGATTTTGTATGGCAAGTGATATCTCTCGATGAATTCATAGTTCAAGAACAATATGCAGCTAATGTTCTTTGTGATTTACATTTTACAGCTAACAAACTGGAAACAATACAGCCAGTAAAACATAATAAGCAATTTTGCCTGATATATAAGCTTCCACAATGGAGCCGACCAAATATCCTTAATCTGAAAACCACATTATAAGGCTATTAAAAGGAAAGTAAATCCTCTATAACACCTATTTGGCATAATAAGAATTTCTACATGAGTGATTGATTCGGTATAATCACTGTCCTATATAAGTGGATGATTTGTTCTTAGGGTTTAGTCTATAAAAGGGCTTGATTCGGTCTAAGTAATGAGTTTACTTGATAAGTCTGGTCTTAGCAATAAGGAAACGTATGTATAGCATGATGTGAATATACATGGAGTAGAACAACCTTTTGTTATAACATAATTCACATAACCAGTTCTTTATGACAAATATTAAACAATGAAGTAAACCCTGTTGTTCTAACATTGTACTATTCCAAGAGCATTTCTAATTACCTCGATCACTTTTGCAACATGTGGGGCGTCGTTGTCATCTAAGTTATTATCTGCGCAACACAAGAAATGGATAAAAAAAATCAACATTAGAAGAAAACAAACCATGTATATATAATGAAGTTATCTTTGTTACTGACGTAAATCTGATCAATTTTAATGGATTAGATGTTTGGTATTATGAAACAGCAAATTGCACGTTCTATCTACTGATCGAAAATACCTAGTAAAATTAGGATTAACATATTGGATATTTGAAGTACCCAAGTTTTAAACTATCAGTTTGTATAGTTATTAAAGCCATTTAGTTTGTTAACGATTACATTGCCTTCTAGGAACTCTAAGTTGCTTATAACATTTCCTGATTACTGTTTGTTGTTTACTGTCAAGTACTTAACTCCTGTACATGTTAAGAGAAAATACGTGTGTTTTATATACATGGTGTATCCCTAATTAATTAACAGTTTCATATACCTGTACATAGTGTATCCCTAATTAATTAACAGTTTCATATACCTGTACATGGTGTATCCCTAATTAATTAACAGTTTCATATACCTGTACATAGTGTATCCCCAATTAATTAACAGTTGTATGTGCTTGGTGTATCCCAAAATAACTAAGAGTTATATAAACATCGTATACCCTTTACTAATTAACAGTTTTATATACAATGTACAATGTGTATCCCCAATTAATCAACAGTTGTATACACAATTTGTATCCCCAATGAATTTACAGTGTACCCACAAACATGATTGGGAAAATTAAAAAAATAAACAATTAAAATAATAGCTGTATTTTACACACACGATGAATCACGTGACAGAGTTTTTAAACTTTGTAAACATTTAGTAACTACTAACTAGGAGAAATAAGAAATATGCATTCTTTATTTCCTGTTTAAGGGAAAGCGACCAATAGTTACTACTTTTGAGGGTAGATTGATGATGTTATTAAACAATATGTACATTGGTCAGATGCTCCTCACTTACCTCCTAAATCTAGTTTCCGTAATGTATATGACGTTGACAAGAATTCGGCCAAGTTTTTCATTGGTGAACCATGAAGGTTGCATTTTCTCATTATCTAACAAAGTTAAAGGTGTTATATAATTAGTGTTGTCGGTGGTTTTAACCGTGTCTTCATAATGTAGATAAAGATATAGAACATACAGGATAAAATGTGGTAGTGAAGTAAAACTTGATGTTTAACTCGAATAAAAAAAATCATTTACTTGTTGAAACATCATCAAATTGTCACCGTTTCAAGAATATCCTAATCAATTAACCAGATGTTTATTTGAAATGTAAACTATTATATTCAAACCCACAGACCATATGCATATAAACCAAAATAATTTAGTTGATGTTTACGACACACTTGCTGTGCAGTTTTTGGATGATATGTTGATATACGTACTAGAGCACTTAGATGTTTGTTTGCTTTCAGTATTTGACAAAGGTAGTTGACCTCTTTCACCCCAAGTTTGTTTCCGGACAAATCAAGTTCTAATATGTCAAGGCCATTCTGAAAAAGATTGTATAGCAATGTTACATTGAACATAGAAAACATGTACAACACCGTAAAACGGTGTGTGTTTTTGCATAGAAAATATATACAACAATGTAGAATTCCACAAGAAATCATGTACAACACTGCAACATAAAACACACGATAACACATCTTTCTAATGTTTTGCATATACTTACCGCGATACTGACGAAAATGGTCTTGAGTTCCCGGGCTGACAACTGAAGATCGTCTATTGAGAACACCGTTTGGCCAAACTGCTGAAGGACTTTTTTTATTGGAATTAACCCCATTCGTTTGCATGACTTCCGGTATAATGCACGGGATTGTTCAATCTGTGTAGCATAACGCTCCGTTTTTGGTATATCTATTTAAAACATGATATTTCATGTAAAGTTATAAGCTTGTTGTCGACGTCTAAAAAACTGTTCGTACTCCAATATGTCAGGACCTTACATTAAGGTCAGGATTTGAGTTAAGTTATCTCGCTTAGGTAGGAAGACGCATAATGTCGATATCAAAAATTAATTTGCGTATTTTTCAGTATATGTTAGTTTTATCAATGCATACCTTTTAGCATACATTTCAATTTATCAATACCTACCAAATGATGGACATCTTTAATAAAGTCAAATCTTCGGCAGAAATCTTTTTCTGCAGCATAAATTCTAGACTACATTCGTATGAAATATAGGATGGATATTTGGAATGTCTATTAAGGTGGCAGAATCCATGTGTTAAGCTGTTTGAACCATGTACATGAATTAGACTAATGCTATCACACTAACGCCATCATATAAACCACAATAAACATGGAACATTACAGCACCAATTAGTTATCTCGACAAAAAATATTCCATTTTTTTTTTTGAATATCTTAATCACACATTTATTTTGTATGTTTGTGGGGTTTTTTTTCCTTCTTTTTGTTTTGTTTATGCCAAATTATTTATATTTATCAACAATGCAATCATTAATAAAAAAAAATTAGAAAAATGTCGAAAACAAAGGTAGTCTATAAAATACATTTCCTGTATATCAATCAAATAAATCTGGTGATTAATTTCCAGCTTTTGAAAACAGTAACAAAAATGTACTAACAGTGAAATCAGGCGTGTTTGCACGAACTGTAATTGCACTAGCTATTATTAGTCCGGATCATGAAACACTAGACCAAAAATCTCATTCTTAAGAGATAATAATTAAACGAAATGTATTTTAACATTTTGATAATTGATTATAGACCTAACCGTAATATTTGTTCCCGGTTAGGTTGGGGGTAACCAAGAAAACGTTTAAATGTGTCACAGACTAAATGTATATGCACAATATTAAATATTTATATTGATATATATATATATATATCTTTAAAATAAGAAATGAAAAAAATATTAAGAATTTATAATATACGTCTCACTTACCTTCATCATCTTCATCAAAATCGTACGGTTCATTAGGATCAAATGTTGGAGTATTTTCAAACGTAAATTTTGTTTTCCTCTTCCTTAGCGGAGGTCTGAAAGACGCCCGAGATAGATTCCGGGACTCAAGTGGAGGACTAACCGTTTCAGGTTTAGGTGTAATAGCCGAGAAAGCATCCTTGTCGTCATCTTTCTTGTTAGGTGATGCCAGAGACAGAGATGTTTGTTTACGTGAAATTGTCTTTGAAGGAGAATAGGGAAGAGGAGGTAACTTCACGTCAGCCATGAGGGAAAGATCGCTGTCTTCTCGGTCAAAGCCTAATAATGTCGACAAAATGAATGAATAAACTAGTTATAACGACAAAATTACAATCCGGGTAAAACTAAAATAATAGAGCATTAAATAACAGGTGATTTGGACAAAAATAACAAAATCAATGTACAGGTTAAGATAATTAGCGTTAATTTCCGGCAAGTAACGGCAAAGTTATACATGATAAATGTATGAGTAATAGGGTCAATTTGTTTAGCATTCATGGTCAGGTAAACCAAAAAGTAGGAAGGCAATAATATATTGCTTATAACGACAAAATGATTGGAGCATGGATGATATGGACAAAATAAATATTGCTTTAACGTGCATCTAAGCCAGTAATTATGAAAAAATAGCACGGCAGAACTTGCAAAGCGCTTATTCAATTGCTATGTTATCAGCAAATTGAACACAATTAACAATGAAGGTGAAATATCGTTTCTTCACGCTTAACACAAAGCAGGTGTCAGTTGTTCAACATGGACGCTGACAAGGAACAGATAAAGTTATAGTTGTACCAATTAGTTACAAATATGTTTATAAATAACATGTACAATATCGTTATGAGTACAGGATTTTTGGTGTAAATAAAACACACTATAGGTAGACGGTGTCCTGAATAAAGCTACTATCTAGAAGATTTATAGCATCTGATAAATGACGTCCCTTACGTCCTGTTACTATCACCTGTTAAAAGTACTTGAAAACGAGTATTGTTTCCGTATCAACACCCAGAGTACAAGCTGTCGTAAAGATTGTAAACATATTACACGTCACCCAGTAACGTTGTATCTAACTTAACACTGGAGCTATATAGCGTTATGAAGCTTGCAAATGTCTTTGTGCTTTGATCGAGATTATTTGATTATTTAAAAATAGCTTGAGTTAATAACATAAATTTGACCAGACAAGTTTACGCCGACAACATTAAATATTCTCAATTAGAACACATGAAAATCAAGAAAATTGAATAACGTTGTGACATATATATTTAACACTAGCTAGTACTAGTTATAATATCATGAGGCCTGCAGATTTGTGTGGGATTTTGTCGATATCATTTCATTCTTAATAAATATCGTGAAAAACAATTGACGTATACACTTGACCTGACAAGTTCACACAAATAACATTGTATGTTCCTTTTACGCTCCTATTAAGAATACATAAAGATCCACAGAGAAATTCACAGCGTTGATGATGCGTCTCATTCACAAGCGTACCTCAGGTCCCTTGATTCAGTAATAATATTCCCGTTGAATCATTACACCGATCAACACTTGTCAGGCGTGTTCAAAGGAACACCGTCAACGTGTCCAGTTTCCTGTTCAACCTGTTCCTCGGAGTTTCATTTTCTGATGAATGTCTTAACCTGGTGACCAAGTGATCACAAACCACATATATAGAGGCTAAAGATCAATGTAGTATTGGACCTAACACAAACAATAAGATTGGAGGTATTAACGGATAAGGTTTATGTGTTTTGGTATAATCCAATGTATTTACATCTATCTTAGAGTGCGACTTAAGTTGCGTTAACAATTAACCAGTTGTAATAAACACCTTGTACGTATAACATAATCAATTTCGCTTTGGAGTTTTAAATTAGTCACCTCAAATCAAAACAGACTTATTAAATAATATAAATTACAAATCTGTTTACATTAATACGCATGTAATCCTCTCTAGAAATTACCGATACTAAGTAAATGAAATGACGAAATGTCACGGTACATACATATTACTTTAAAAGAGTTGCAGAAAATCATTTTAAATAAATCATTTCTACCACCACTACTATGTCCACCTATGCGTACAATGTTGTATATTTCCTGTGGAAATGACCTGTATAACGACTAACATTGCATTCCGCATCAACGATTTGTTTCTCCGTTCTTTATTATGTCCGGGGCGGTGAGGGTAAATATTTATAACAGAAACATGTATACAAATTATCGATTAAACACTGGGTAATTTCCTGGGCTGTGTAATAACACAGCACACTGTCCTTCATAACTGAACCTGAAATTTCAATAGCGGTTTATATCAAAGTGTCAATGTATAGTACCAGATTAATGATTAATGGCCATGTACTTGTCAGTTACATATAAAATCATTTCTGTGCGCAACCATATGCGTCAAGTGAACAATGAAAATAAGTTTCAGTTCATTTTTGATGAAATAAACTGAAAGAAATTAATTTCATTACCTCCCGCGATAGTTTGTTCTAGCGATATCAACAATAGGCCTTACACTAGAAAACCAATCTGGTGGGTAGATTTTACTGTATGCGTTGTATATCTGAATGTGAGTATATCAACAACACCAGTTCAGATATTTTAAAGGTATTTTGTATATCGGTTTTAATTAGAAGCTTCAGTTAATATTTCCCTTCTTATATAGGACTCGTACATTTCTGTATTTAAATATACCTGCTCTTATATATTGTATACGGTATTCAATAGCATTTACTGGTTTGGTATAATATCATTTTCAAATGAGTTCCATATCACATGCATTGTCAGAAATGTTACGCGAGTATATCGTAGTTGATAAGTAATTCGCAACTAACTTATAATATTTTATCTACCATCTAGGGATACCACACTTTTTGAAATTATCAGTAGACACCACAATTTTTCCCCTATCGTATATAATGTATGTAAATTTAATCCGACGACTTGTGAAGTCATTGATATAAGATTGATCTGTGGTGCTGAAAATGAATTTCTACTCATGAATTATAATTAAACGTTAGGGCATTAATATTGAAGAGATTGTCACTTAAGTCACTTAAGTTACTAAATTTGCTTCGATCTTAAGTAATGTAGAAATTCTGTTTACATGGTATTAGCATGTGCGTGGTATTTAAAGGGTTGAAACGTGTACCTGCTTTTTGGGTTATTAGCAACGATATGTAATGATAATCCTGATATATTTCCTATCATGATACATACCGATATACTGATGTACAAACATTGTATTTACTATAGCGACATGTGCTGCTATAACGATATAAATGTACTGAATAATGATGTGTAATGGTATAATCAAAGTGATTTTCACTCTTAAACTGCATGTTGAAATATAATATTTGATCTGCAATTGAGGTATATTAATTTTTGAAAACTTCACTAAGCATAATCATTTACATCTCAGTGAGTTTTACTCTGAAACTTGTTGAAATATATTGTTGTTGTTTTTTGGTGTTTTTTTTTTACAGTAAGTAAAACAAAACATGTTCTTCCTTATTATCTTTTCTATATACTGGCGACGCACGGCCTACAATGTACCTACGTATAATGTGCTGACATCAACTATCAACTACCTACAAATGTATACAATTTATATTAAGTAAAATAATACCATCTTCTGAGGTTTTTTTTATTAACTGTCATACTGTTAAAATAACAGATATGGTAATTGATTCAGAAACCGACAAATAACATGGAACTTTATACCATTCTATACATCGGGTAATGCACAGCAGCTAGTACTAAAACAATTAGGTTGAATTTACCATCCAGCTATTACTATGTTTAAGTTGTTCTGTTAATACTTTACAGGTATTGAGAAAAAATATAATGTCTACATGTAATTATCCTAATATACCCAGTCATTGAAAGATAGCTATCTTCTAATAACAATAGGAAAGAACTCCAAATGGCTAGTACTAGCGTCCGTAGCAATGCGATCAATTACCAGTACTCTTGCCATAGTGTCATTTAATATCAACATATATTTTGTAAGTGAAATACATATCAGAGCCTCTGATAATCACATTAAAGACGGGATATCAATGATTGAAGAAAATATCTAAATATTTAAAAATAAATGTAAATGTCATGTTTGTTTATCCATAATTTAAGATATTTTGAACCTTTCAACAATGTCCCTGACCGGTAATCTAACATTCTCAGGAAAAGTGCTAAAATTATACCAATAGTATATGTAACATGATATTTAGTTACGCCACAAATGCATTTCATATTATTCACATGGCTCATTTGATAAACGGATTAAGAGTATAGTTTCAAATATGTATTGACGAGCAAGGTAACCGCGAACAATACTTGTATTTAAAAGTAGGCTGTGCTAGTTCTTACCTTAATGAAAGTCCATATGGGTGGATTTTTTAAATGTATCAAAACTTAGTGATCGATCATATCTAACAAGAACAAACTTTGTGTTTGGTACATACCAAATATAGCTACAACAAAAACGAGGACATTAATTTTACATAAAAAAATAAATGTTTATATGTTGCATACAAAAATAATGAGGTTGGTCACGATTTCAATAAAATAATGATAATTTCAATTCCACGATTTTAATAGTTTTTTAGCGGTGACTCCGATGATATGTTAATGTGCCGTACGCTAATGGAGATTTTAACGACTAAATCTCGGTAACATAAACTAGTGTTGTTATCTTTATATCTAGGTATAATTAAGTCGTTCTGGTTGTATAAACAGGTCGTACTAATATCGAATTCGCTTTGAAGTTTCAGCTAGATTTCAATTCGATAGTATCACCACAAAAGGGTAGTACAGAAATCGAACGTTTTGCCATTTGAACCTTGTTATTTTCTTTGTCAACACTGGCACACGTAGGCTGTCATAATATTGTCCAGATTTCAATTTTCGGCCGAACCAACGAGGTCAGATATCAGGCATCTTCAGCATGGTCTATTATTTATCTTACCCTGGACAGGTGTATCCACACTTTTACCGGTGTGAGATTTCCTTTTCTCTTACCCTGCAAAGATGTATCCGCACTTTTACCGGTGTGAGATTTCCTTTTCTCTTACCATGGACAGGGATATTCACCATTTTACCGGAGTGAGATTTTCTTATCTCACCCTAGGGTTGAGACAAGATCCATGTGTTCTTTGCACGTTCTCAACAATTGTATTACGTCATAGCAACAATACCATGACGTCACGGCAACAATACAATGACGTCACGTCGACAATTCAGCCGTAACACATCAACATTGTCTTGCATTGATGTAACGTCTATATAAAATACATAAGTGGGTAAATAGGGAAGGGTAAGAGAAAAATAATTATTCACCCCCTTGGGAATGAGACAGGGTGATCTCAACCCTCGGGGTAGGATTCTTAAGCTGTCAAACACTCGGCAAGCCTCGTGTTTGACAACTTAAGAGTCTTACCCCTCGGGTTGAGATTACCCTGTCTCACCCTCAAGGGGGTGAACGATTCTATTATTCTATTACTCTGGACAGATGTATACGCACTTATACCGTTGTGATATTTCCTTGTCTCACCCTAGGGTTTAGACGGGGGTATTCCCTTATTCATAAAAATGGTATGACGTCACTTCAACAATACAATTACGTAAGGTCAACAATCCATCAACGTCACGTCAACCCTGAACTTAGCTTGTAACGTTATCATTATATTGTGTATAGGATACACATTGTGAGAACAAGGTAAGAGAAAAAAAATAATTCACCCCCTTGTGGGTAAGATATGGAAATCTCAACCCTCGGGGAAAGATTCTTAAGTTGCCAAACACTCGTCAAAGCCTGGTGTTTGACATCTTAAGAATCTTCCCCTGGGGTTGAGATTCCCCGATCTAACCCACAAGGGGGTGAGAGATTATATTAATGTCTACCAGATATGACCGTATAGATATGTATTTGTTAGCCAAATAACAGGTTTTATGTAAAGCTTAACCGGATTATCCCGTCAACAGTTCCCAAATAAGCCCTGATTTTACAGACAAGAGAACGTCACACTATCCACTGTACGCTATATCATAGAATACACATCACGGCTGACACCTTGCGTAAATAAATGGCATTTAGTCAACAAACACCACCAATCTACACTTAGCATTTATCTAAATAAGAATCATTCGGATTAGGCTAATAGAGAATCGTCGCCATTTTACGTTCGAATATTTTACAATAGCCGCAAGGGTTATGTATACAAAGAGAGTGTGAAAATAATTAATCTATATGACCTTAATTTAATATCACAATATTACTGTTATAAAACAGCTATCAATTCATTCCAGGTACGCCTTTCACCAACATCTCGACATGGGCATTAGTTATGCTTACATAACATAGGTTTTTAGGTCACCTGAGACAAAGTCTCAAGTGACCTATTGCGATCGCCTTTTGTCCGGCGTCGTCCGTCGTCCGTCGTCCGTCGTGCGTCCGTAAACAATTTATATTTTCGACTTCTTTTCCAAAACCACTGAACCAATTTCAATGAAATTTTGCAGGAACCTTCCATGGACAACGATCAACAAAATAGTCAAAAGTCAAAAAGGGTCAAATTGACTAAAATTTCAAAAATCTTCTTCTCAAGACCCAGATATGGTAGAATCAAATACTCTTCATAGATGGAAGGGTCTTAAGGTGCTTTACCAAAATGGGGTATCACTTTTCCCCCTGGGGAGGGGGTAAACTTTACTATAGTTTATAAAGGGAAATCACATTTTGGACCAACATTTGTTTAATTTCCATCGGAAGTAATTCAATTTGGGTTAGCATTATCAGTATCAGGTACCAGTTTGATAGTATGCACATATAAGCCATGACTGACCCTCAGGGGCTGATGGGTTGGGTAAAAAAGGGTTGAATTGACTGAAATTTCAAAAATCTTCTTCTCAAGACCCAGATATGGTAGAATCAAATACTCTTAACAGATTGAAGGGTCTTAAGGTACCTAACCAAAATTGTGAATTTCATGACCCTGGGGTCTCACGTTTCCCGCTTGGGAGGGGGTAAACTTTACTATAGTTTATACAGGGAAATCACATTTTGGACCAACATTTATTTAATTTCCATTGGAAGTAATTCAATTTTGATTAGCATTATCAGTAATACGTAACAGTTTGATAGTATGCACATATGAGCCCTGACTGACCCCCCGGGCTAATGGATGGGGCAAAAAAGGGTTGAATTGACTGAAATTTCAAAAATCTTCTTCTCAACGACCCTGATATGGTAGAATCAAACACTCTTCATAGATGGCAGGGTCTAAAGGTTTATGACCCTCGGGTCTCACGTTTACACCCTGAGGAAGGGGGGGGGGCGCAAAATGTATTATGGTTCCATTATGGCAAATGATACTTTGAATATTACATGTTAATAACTTGATTGGAATTATAACCATGAGTTGACAGTTTGATACTTTGAAAATTTTGAGCCAGCCCTACCCCCAATGGCTGTAGGGTGGGGCCCAAAGGAGTCAGTGTGCTAAAATTTCTTCATTTTTCTTGTTTAGAATCAGAGGTGCTAGTTTCAAATACTTTTTAGTCTTAAATCTGTATGCTATATATTTAATAAGGTGGTTTTATTGTTTATTGTATAAATATATCAGGTGACCGTTAAGGCCCATGGGCCTCTTGTTGTACTTACCCGAGAAATCCATGGATAGCTGATTTTAGGAGATTATTGGGTTGGGATAGTATGACTGTATTTTATAGCATAGCGATACCTCTGACTATGGTATCTGACTGGCCTCCTATTGATTTGTGTGTGCATATTTATGTCAATATGGTCTCACAGACACGTTATGAAATTTTAAAAACAATATTTCTTACTAAAATTTAGTACAACTCATTCTGAATGCTTTAAGAAAGCAAAGCTTAACTCATCGGCACTATCAACGTGGGAAGAATTGGTCACTGAAATTCAGAGGAAAGGAAGCATATTTTTCATGTTTTCCTATATTTTTTAAATTTTAAGTAAGCCGATAATGTAGAACGAAAAACAAAAAAACATACATTTAGTTATTACATATTTTTACAAAGTATTATTCAAAAATCATACATATGGAATGTGGAATAGAGCATATATAGTACTGTAACACCCGTTTATACTGAGTACTATTATGACGTCATAGATTCGACGAGTTATTGTGACGTCATACATTTTGTACATCATTTCCTCTATTTCCGAAGAAGCAAGACGGATGTTTCTTCAAACAATTGTTGACTTCCACCTTTGAAAAAGGCCAGGAGGCCGAAATATTGGGACTTGAATGACATTTTGTTCGTTTTTTCGCTCTGTTTCGTTTTTACTTTTTCCAAAAAAGTGATATTCATATAAAACATATGCAATACTTTCCTACTTTTTATTGCACTAAAACCCAAATATTGTACTAAAGGGATCAAAATGATCGCCTGAAAACACTAAACACACCTGATATTTCTGCTAACAGAAATTTGCAAATTTGCAAAAAATGTTGACAAAGGTTATAAAGATTGCTATCACTGGGTCCCAACATCGTGTAAATTACCATATAGGTAAACACTTATAAATTACCTTATAGGTCAACACTTCTAAATTATCATATAGGTAAATACTTGTATATTTATGACCACACATGTCAACACGTTTGAATTAACATACATGCCAACACTTGCATGAACTTTAAATATGCCTAAAAAAAACCATGAATTTGATTAATCTAACGTCTGCAAATATTAACACATTATTTAGCAATATCATGAGTACTCTAACCCACCAAACTTAACATCAAAATCAACATGTGATATTCAAACACTTTTACAATATTTGATTTAGTGCGGGGGAAAAGGTTAAACATGGATAAGTGCTTATCTGGTTAAATCGACTTAATGAGGAACAATGCAGTCACACACAATTGATATGAGGCACATGAGTAATTAGCATCAACTGGTTTTTTTCTTGTGGGAAAAGATAATAATTTGAAAAAAACTTTTGAAAAATATGTAAAATTCAAACCTTCATCGTATTGTTCTTCTTCCATTGCCATGGTAATCCGGTTTTCCGTATTGCACTGTAGAAATTATCCAAGTCCTATCGGACAGATTTCCCTGTGACACTTGTATTGGTACTTAAGGTACTAATGATAGAACATGTCAAATCAACATCTAAGTGATGGCAAGCAATCACGTCCACTCATGAATCCACCACATATATTTCAAAATATGTTTACTACACTGCAAATGTTTTTCCTTGCCCATTTTGTGACATCATAATACACATCCGTATGTCAACGAAATCCATGATTGGCGTCAAACGGGTATGTGTGTCGGCTCCGATGACGTTGGTTGGGAAATCATAGCTTGTTCTAATAGCTGTCTATTGAGTCAGGGTGGCATCACATCACTTGACGCCGTTTACAGGCTAACTCATTCGTCATATATATATTGTGCCGACAGTGTATATTTAACTCTACTAACATTTACACTAAATCCTTTTCGTTTCAGGTGAAAACAAGAATGACAGACAAAAATTCAAAACGTACTTTTCAGAATTAACCGAGTTGAGTAGGGGAATCAAAAACATCCATTACCGTCGGTCTATTTTGACTTGGACCTTTAAACCATGTTGAACTAACGACTTAAATAGTCGATGCGGTCCATCGATTTCAGCATGTCAGTCAGGGCCTCGACTGTGATTCAGGAAATACTGAAATCTTATTAAGCAGTTTCCATATCGCATTAGCAACGATGTACTTATTTAAAGTGAAGCAATTGCATCAGGCACAGTAATTCACTGTTATTTAATCCACTAGTCGAAGGAGTGAAGGCTGATTTTATCTGATTATATTACTATACACAGATGATATTGTATAAGTAACGAGAAGTAGGTAAGACCCCGGTATTAACAATAACACATTCACGCCTTTCATGTCAGGAAACCTGGTGCGTTCAAGGTCCCTTGAGCAATCAAAAGCGATTCATTGTTTATGAATACATAATAATCTTAAGTTGTTGTACTCGACATTTAATAAAGAATCGAGGCACATACTGGTACACTGACTGGGTGTAACATGATTCACTCCTGCAAAAGCTAAATATTACCACCACACAAAGTGCCAACTAGCTTGTGTTCATCTATACAACTGGATGCATTGTGTATGTGTCTCTGAACGGGATCAAACGACTAATATGTGATTTTACTTATAATCACAGTACTGGTAATTAATAGGAAAACTGGACAGAAAGGCGAATACGTAGAAATAAAATAATTACCATCGTATATTGAAATCATTCTCGTGATATCGTACTAAAGTATGCGAATAGAAGAACTAGTTCGTCTCATAACGACTATTGTAAGTTTAAACAATAGGTTTTTTCCAAATCAACTCATTCATTTTATACATGAGAGATATTAAAGAGGCATAAGGAAATGTTAACATACATGTCTATACACAGCTTAAGAACTTAAATAATAATTGTAAACTTTAATGCATATCACCAATGTAGATCTTAATGTAAACGTTTAGTGTGTACAAGGAGCTGTTGAGTGGCAATTGAAAATGAAGTATTTCATGATTAAAAGTCGAGTTGATCTTTATAAGTATATTTGTATTTCATTTGTAATTTTTATTTAAACGTGGGGCAGTCGTCAGGTACTGGCCGTAGGGCAGTGTTTTTTTCTCCGGGAACTCGGGCTTTCCTCCACCACCAAATCCTGGCACGTCCTTATAATTAAATGACCATAATAATAGGACGTAAAACCCAAACAAACAAAAAATGCGATGACATATGCATGATCAACTTTCATATTAATTACTAGTGGTCTAAATAATCGATACAATTAAGACTTCTTTTCTAGACTGCATGTTGCTTATTCTTATTCAAAGTACGATAAAGGTGAGATTTTAGGAAGTAAAAGAATGGGGTTTCTTTAATTTCGCTGTTGTTTTGGGAGATATAGATGGTTAGGAGTGAACGGATAGAATATGTGTGCACAGCTTGTTTACGTCATCATCATCGTCATCTTCGTTGTTATCATTTTAAAGTGTCTCAAAGTGGGGACTTATCATTATAGCTCATAAAATAGATCACGTCATAGTTGACTGACTAACCTAAGTACTTTAAATAGGAAAGGCACGACGAGTTCGTGTTTAGATAGGATATGTGAATTTAATTAGTTATTCCACTTTGAGGGGAAAAAAATCTCTTATTAATATGACATTTTTACACTTTAGTAAGGAAATGTAAGCTGTCCTTGATGTACTTTGAATCCCAGAGGTAATTTAGTAAGTCATACTTGTTAAGTCTCTTCAATCAAGATTTCTTTTAAATTCGTATATCTTACCTTAGTTGCAGATTTTACGACACAGACAAGTGTTGACCAACCGCGTCACAAAACAGGGGTGTTATAAAGAGAATGTTGAAACAAATATTCTTGGACATGAAAGAGAATATATTCTTCTGGTGATTAATGTTCCTTTTGTCTCGAATGATCTTTTTATTATGATTGTAAGTATAAAGGAAGGACAAGAACTTTTAAGTACTTCAGAATCCATCTATGTACCATTGCATTGCCTGTCCTCTAATCACGGATCAGTGACAAGAAAACGTGATGGAAAACCTGTTTGCCTGACTTCAGTTTATCATTGGTGCAGAAGTTTGTCCCTTTTCCACTCAGTAATAGCACTAGTTTAAAAATCGTCCTTTTATAGGACTGTGTTATGTATGCTGAACCGTTTAACGTATCCAATGATTATTTACAGAGGATTGTCCGTTCAATTTGTACCATGATATAGGCTGTGTGGATCTGTATTTAGTTTATCACGGCGGGTTCAGTAGTGTCTGGTTCACAACACCGTTCAGGCGAATAGTTTTCTGACAGGACTCCGATGTATCTTGTTCACAACAGAGTTCAGAAGAATTGCTTTCCTAACGGGGCTCAGAGGTGTCTGGTTCACGAGAAGATTTCAGAATATATTTGATTGAAGTAAGGATCTAAGACGGAACTAGTTCGTTAAGTCTTTTGAATGAAACTGTCCGCAAAGACAGGCTCACGGCCACGATTCAGTTGCGAAAGATCAACAAAGAGAAACGGTGAAGACTATAGCAAGGCAGCGGATTTTCTTAAACGCTGGAACGACAAGGTCCAAAGACAGGAGACAAGAGGTCATTCGAAAAAGCCGCATTGTAAACTGGACAGCAGGAAAAACATTTTTGATCTGCGCGTAGTCAAAATATGGAACGATCTCCCCGAACAAATAATCTCGGCACCAACAGTAAATTCTTTCAAAAACAAATTGGATAAGCATGTGAAGATTAAGAATATATATACAATTATAAGTTCGAAATTCTTTAGAAATTGGAACTGTTTTTATAATTGATTTATTCAATGTATTGTTATTATTGTATACTTGAGTCCGGTGTAAAGGATCTTGTACCGGTAAATAACTTAACTAAACCCAACTTAACTATTACACGGCAGAGATTCTCTATTGCTGGGTACTGCTGAGACTGGTTTGCCGACTTTTCAGTGGAAACCCCCAATTTGCAAAAGTCAATCAATATAATATAATGAATTTAAACTGACCATATCATCTGTGCAATTTTATTTTTTTAACCTGCCCTGCGATCATGATGCATGTTGGTTGTTTTCATCGAAATCGTTTTTGTTTTCCTTTTCATTATTTAAATGTGTCGCAAATTCATGTCTGGTACATGTATAGCCATTAAATATGTTACTTTACACCTGACTGACTAACGTTCGTACGTTAAATAGATAGCACAAACACGATTTCTTATTCAAAGGAGAACTTTCCGAACGACTTGTGATATCACAAAGGCTGCCCTATTACTTAAACAGGACCCTACCATGAACGGATCAATCATCTCGGCACGTCGTTAGACTAGTGAACCATATAGCTACCGTAAATTGACCAAGTGCTGTTGATTTTTATTTTCAATTTTGATTTTGTAAAATTATCTATTTATTAATATTTTTTTATAGGAATTGATGAAAGGACTTTTATTTCCATCGTTTCCTTATAAACAATTAGCTGCAAATATTGCACAATACGTAAGCGTTATTTCCTAAATTGTATAAAATAATGTCCTTCTATGTTGGCTCTACTGATAAAAGTCCCACTTTGTTGGCTGTACTTAGTCCCACTTTGTTGGCTGTACTACGTCCCACTTTGTTGGCTGTACTACGTCCCACTTTGTTGGCTGTACTTAGTCCCTCAGTATAGGCTGTAATAATCCCCTATGTGTTTGCTGTTCTACGTTTCTCCGTGTTGGCTGTAATAAGTCCCTCTGTGTTGGCTGTACAACGTCCCTCGGTGTTGGCTGTACTATGGCCCTCTGTGTTGGCTGTACTAAGTACCTCTGTGTTGACTGTGCTACGTCCCTCTGTGGTGGCTGTACTACGTCCCTCTGTGGTGGTTGTACTACGTCCCTCTGTTTGGGCTATACGACGTCCCTCTGTGTTGACTGTACTCCGTCCCTCTGTGTTTACTGTACTAAGTCCCTCTGTGGTGACTGTGCTACGTCCCTCTGTGTTGGCTGGACTACGTCCCTCCGTGTTGGCAGTACTAAGTCCCTCTGTGTTGGCTGTGCTATGTCCCTCTGTGTTGGCTGTACTATGCCCACTTTGTTGGCTGTACTTAGTCCCTCAGTATAGGCTGTAATAATCCCCTATGTGTTTGCTGTTCTAAGTTTCTCCGTGTTGGCTGTAATAAGTCCCTCTGTGTTGACTATACTAAGTCCCTCATTGTTGGCTGTCCTACGTCCCTCCGTGTTGGCTGTCCTACGTCCCTCCGTGTTGGCTGTCCTACGTCCCTCCGTGTTGGCTGTACAACGTCCCTCGGTGTTGGCTGTACTATGGCCCTCTGTGTTGGCTGTACTAAGTACCTCTGTGTTGACTGTGCTACGTCCCTCTGTGTTGGCTGGACTAAGTCCCTCTGTGGTGGCTGTACTACGTCCCTCTGTGTGGACTGTACTAAGTCTCTCTGTGTTGGCTGTTGGCTGTACTTAGTCCCTCAGTATAGTCTGTAATAATCCCCTATGTGTTTGCTGTTCTACGTGTCTCCGTGTTGGCTGTAATAAGTCCCTCTGTGTTGGCTGTACAAAGTCCCTCCGTGTTAACTGTACTACGTCCCTCTGTGTTTACTGTACTAAGTCCCTCTGTGTTGCTGTACTACGTCCCTCTGTGTGGGCTGTACTCCGTCCCTCTGTTTTGGCTGTCTTAAGTCCCTCTGTGTTGGCTGTCCTACGTCCCTCCGTGTTGGCTGTACAACGTCCCTCGGTGTTGGCTGTACTATGGCCCTCTGTGTTGGCTGTACTAAGTACCTCTGTGTTGACTGTGCTACGTCCCTCTGTGGTGGCTGTACTACGTCCCTCTGTGGTGGTTGTACTACGTCCCTCTGTTTGGGCTATACGACGTCCCTCTGTGTTGACTGTACTAAGTCCCTCAGTATGGGCTGTAATAATCCCCTATGGGTTTGCTGTTCTACGTTTCTCCGTGTTGGCTGTAATAAGTCCCTCTGTGTTGACTATACTAAGTCCCTCATTGTTGGCTGTCCTACGTCCCTCCGTGTTGGCTGTCCTACGTCCCTCCGTGTTGGCTGTACAACGTCCCTCGGTGTTGGCTGTACTATGGCCCTCTGTGTTGGCTGTACTAAGTCCCTCTGGG